GCCTTGGCTCGACCAATGAGATCGTGACCGCATCCGGTGTTTGCTAATACATGTTGACATTGCGAACACATTCTTCGGCAGACCATGCTCGTCCTCAACCCGATCATACTCAAACACAATAGTGTTCTCCTTGGTCACCGGAAAGTAGTGTTTTCTGTAAACATCGTCCACCACCTCTTCCAGTATCTTTGCTCTTATCAATGATCGTTGGACTTGATAGGCTGATAATTCTCGATGATCACTGTCCTTGAACTTCTTCTCATCAATGTGCACGTACTGGTAAGAACCATTCTCATTGCCCTCATAGCCATACCACTCTTCTTTTCGTTCCCATTGCCTACTCTCGTCTTCAAGATAGGTGATCTCCCCATTCTCGTCGACGTCGAGTACTTCTTTGAACCATACCATCTTCTCGAAGATCTCGGACTCACCAGACCATCTTGACGATTCACTCATGGCATCGTCATCACGCTCGTGGTAGACAGTCTCGGCTTCATCCGGTTCAACATGATCAACGTCTTTCTTGAAGCTGACCTCTCCCGCAGGGACCGATTGCTTCAAGACTATTGCAGGCATTGCATTGGCCCTTCTCACAATCGCTGGTGCTGCGGCCTTGGGGGCAGCCTTCGCCTTAGGTTGTGTCTTGTCCCCTGACGTTGCCGGAGCTGAGTTGTTCTTGATGGGCTCATGCTTGTATTTGCAAGCACTGCCTTTCTCACACTTTCCCTTCTGGAACGCGTAGCACACTCCATCCTCCTTCTTCGGTGAGGACGATCTGGATTTGGACTTTCCTTTCCCTTTTCCTTTGGGCATGTTCTCCAGCTTGCTTCCACTCGGACTCTTGCCCCTGTCGTTGGCACCATCGGACTTGCCGTTCTTTGCCAGCGTGACCCTTTGCTTTGGCCTTCGGGAGCACAGGAGCGGCATCAGGTCCATTGGATTTGCCCTTCTTACCTTGGCCATTCTGGCCCTCCTGTTTGCCAGCAGCCGGGGCTGCATCTTTGCCGCCTGACTTCATCATTGTTTTGACCGACTTCTCCTTCATGTCAAGCATCAGATCTTCCCGATCCGACTTGATTTGGTGGTCAATCAATGCCAACAAGAATTCATACGACTTCTGAGGATGTTTGTCTGGTAACCTATGGTAGGCGTTCAGGCCAAACTCCATCTTCTTGCTCCCATGTCTCTTAGCGATCACTCCTTGTTGATGTCGTAGTTCTGAATGTCGTGTAGCATCGAGGTACACATCCTTGGCTTCGTCTGGTGCTTGTCTCAGCATGTTCTGCATGCCCATGGCCATCTTGATGTCGATTGTAGCGAATCTGTCACCGCCTGAGTCGCTTAGTAGATTGAGGTCTGGGTTTAACCCGAGAGCCTGTTCCAACCATTTTGTCCACATGTCGGTATCCGGATCTGCGCATGCACTCAGCACATTCATCAGCAATTGCATCTTCCAGTTATCGAGCTGATGGATCTTCCTCCAATTAAACATGGATACCCTTTCAGCCTCTTTTCTTGAAATCCTCGGCCTCTCGTTCTTGATCTCACGATCATCCCTCAATCGCCTGCGCCCCCTCCGTGTCCGACTGTCTTCTTCTTCTTCCTCGTCTTCCTCATCCTCTTCGTCATCGTCATCTTCATCCTCATCATCAGAAGGGTGTGGGAGTTGTGGCTTTGGTTCAGGCTGTGGTGACAATTCATGGAATTTGGGAATCTTGCGCTTTGCTCTATCCACTGGCCCCCATGCCCTGAAGCAAGCTCTGAGGCGCGGCCTGAAGGGTCCGGGAGCCGTGGCTTTGGGAAGTGCCAATGAGGCGCTTCAGGCTGCGGGGAGGTCATGGAAAAGTGATTTGGGAAGCATTAAGAGGCAGCTGAAGGGTCTGGAAGAGGTCATGGAAAAGTGATTTGGGAAGCCATTAAGAGGGGCACACCTTCTTTGCAAGGTTGGGTCTCTTGCCCTGAAGCAACCTGAAGCAAGCTCTGAGGCGTGGCCTGGGAGTCGTGGCTTTGGGAAGTGTCAATGAGGTGTTTCAGGCTGCACAGGCCAAGGCTCTCGGGCCCACGCCCTCCTCTACGTGCATGCCGAGGAAGGGCACGAGCTTCTCGGGGAGATGCCAAGGCGCTCCGCCATGTCCGCCGTGTGCGGCCCGTACAGGCCCTTCCCGACCTTCATGCGCGCGGGCGGAGCCCAGTCCAAGTGGTCGTGCTATGAAGTCACCGATCGAATGGCGGCTGACATCTACACCAAGGAGTTCAATGATGGGCGCAAATGGAAACATGCATGCTTGCAGATTGGTCTGCTTGACCGGAGTTTGCTGATCCGGATACCTTCAAAGCGCTCACACCCACGTGTGATCCTATAAAAGGGACCCTGCAAACGGCTTCGGGGACGGTTGACGGAGTTCCCACATTTCCGTACACACACATTCCGGTCATGCCCCCGGACCTGTGGTGGCCCGGCCTGACATCCAAAGAGGGATTGCATGAACATGAAGGACATGATCTGGTGGTTGTTGCCAAAGGGCCCAGATTGATGCGTGTGAAACCTCCACTCGCGGTTAAGAAACCGTTCGGGTGCAAGTGGCTTCGTTCCACTTGGTTTCTGAAGAATGGGTCCTGGCTCAAGGTTGAGGACAGAGTTGATCCTGGCTTGCAGTGTGCACGGATTGATGGGTGAGTTGAACGCGCAGTTTGGCAATTTCATCCTGTTCCGGTTGCTGTACCGGCACGGGAGCGATCTCCGCGACCACGACCAATTCATGTCGGGCCCGGTGATGTTGATATGCAGTCTGTGCTGGCTGCATTCGTTGAGGAGTTGTCAGACGAGCGTGTTGAATTCAAATGTGTCAATGATCTGGTTTTGGATACTCTGCTCCGGTTGAAGCTGCTTATGCGTTGTCTGCATACCAGTCATGAGCAATTTGTTCCTGGTCGTTGTTTTGTTCCATATCGCATTGCGGTGAAGCACAAACCACAGTTAGCGCCGGGCATCGAGCTCGCGCTGGTTACCCATGACGGTGGTGCGCTTCGCGCTCCGTTGCATGTCTCGCTTCCTGGTATGAGAACTCGCACAATCGTCACCTTGTATAGCGTTGACTTGTCCCGGCCCATCGTGCTGTTGGCATGTTCCGAGCCTCGCAACTGGCTCACTACCCTTGCCCGGCATAAGGGGCCTCAGGTCGTGACCGTTACTTTGGTCGATGACTTACTGAGCGAGTACGGGGGGAGAATCGCTAGACATGTGCTCACTAAATCTTCCGATTTGTTGTTCTTCGCCGGGCCTTGCACGGGAGGATCATCATGGGCACGCCTCAACAAGACTCGCGGAATTGACACCGCAGAGAAAATAGAGGCCAACCAAAAGGAGTTTTGGAAGTTGTTTCGATGTTTTGTGGAAATCAAACGACATGCCATGACGAAACGTGCTGCTATTCTTTTTGAATTGCCCGGAAGTTGCGATTATTGGAAGGATGAGAGACTGCATGAGGTTATTCATGATGGCACCAGTCATGACTTTGATGGGTGTCGCTACGGATTGAAGCAAAGGTACGCGAAGAAACCTCTGCCAATCAAGAAACCGTGGAGAGTTGTTTCCTGGAACTTTGATCTTGGAAAATCGTTGTCTATTAAATGAAATGTAACGGGAACCATGAACATGGACCTTGTGCTGGTCGGAAAACGAAAGAAACCCAGTTATACACGTCATTGATTGTGAGTGTAATCCTCCGGCGTTTTCTTGCTCGAGCAAAGTGCCTTCAACAGGCACGACTGTAGCCCGCTCTCGCTTGCATAGTGTGGGGGAATCCACGTCGGCGACAGACCGCTGCGTGTGAGTCACATCACTTCGACTGCGCCAAAGAGGTTCCGGGCCAGACCCGGACCTCAGGTGTCAGCTGGGTGCATTTCGGATCCATTCAGGTATCATATATATTGCTGCCTATTTTGGGTTTTCCTGGTTCTGGAGAATATCATCAAGATGACTGCCAACGCGTCCGTCGTCAACACGAATGAATTCTTCTGCGCGCCTGTTGGGAAGTCCAGACAAGCGGCGATATTCCTGGGGAATCTCGTCAAGAACGCCGTCGATGAAGGCGAGCGAATTAGCAGGAGAATGGAGATGAGCAGTGATCTGGGTACATGCATCAAATGGGTCGAGGACATCGGCGTCCCCGTCATTTATGCTTACTCAGCGTATTACTCTGCGAGATGCCGTGGTATGATTAAAGGTGAGGGGCAATCCATGAGGGTCGCGTTGGAGTTCCTCAGCAAGATCTTCGGGCTACTCTCTGCCGATGAATGTATGTTGGGATGGAGAGAATTCTGCAGCAAGGGGACAAGCCCCGCAGTAGTGGTTGCTGGAATGGAGTGATGAACCTCAGCGGCACCAATGAAGATCAGCTCCGTCGTGAACTGGACTGGATTTTCCGCCAAAATGAGCGTGCTGCCTGGAACTCCGTGGAGCTCACGGAACGAGAGCGACAAGCACCTCGCTCGCAATGCAGCCCGGCATGCTTCCAGCTATGCATCTCCCGCCGCCCGCAAGGGCGAGAAGTGGGGAAGCTCAGATTGGCAGAGCTGGTCCAACAATGAATGGAGCACGTGGGCGGCAGCAGCGGCAGTGGCCGACAGTCTACCTGGCGGTGGCGTTAAAAACGCATCCGTCGCGGATTTGCATGTGCAGTATGTTACCCCGACCGTCTTCCCTCTGTTGTGTTTCTGTTTGGGGCCTTTGTGAAAGGCCCCTTTAACACGCAGAGGGGGGTGAAGAATTCAATCGGTCAGTTGGGGGGTTTAATATCAATTGCATCCGCAGTGTGGCTGTTCAAGCGAGAAAATGTGCGAGCAGCGCACTTGGACGGTTTGTTGTTTCCTTTTGGGCCCCAAACCGGTAACCCTAGAATCTATAGGTTTACGTCGAATTTGCTTCCAATGCCAGAATTTCTTCGCTTCCAGTTTGATCGCTTTGTCACATTTGCCGGTGGCAGCACTTGCTGGTGAAGGAAAATCTGCCGCCCCCCCCGTGAGCAACATCCCACCAATTAGAGGCCAGGCGCTGAATGTCGTGCATCTTTGCAGAAAACAGCGTTGCACTGATGACTCCGGTGGCATGCTGAGATGTGGCATCGATGGTGTCCGCACAATTGTTTTCAGGCATGGGCGCTGCCTTGTCGGTTTCATGGATGATAGCCTTGACAGCTTGTTTTGAACACTCTGACAAGGGCAAGCAGTGATTCAGCCTTGTTAAGCTCAGCATTTCCTGTCAAGCGTTTGACAGGCCCACCTGGAGGGTCCGCTGGACATAGCGGCAGCTGGACCGCATAGACAGCGACAGATTGCCAATGGCTTGTTGTTGCCACGACTAATTCCCAGAGTGGAGTGAAGCCACCCTACAGCAAACACTCCAAAGGGGGCCGACTCTGGCAGGCTTCCTGTAAACGTGTTTTTGTGCCGGCAAATATGTTTTCAGGCATTCCCAAGTCGAGAAAGCAAGTTCAAACATGGGTTCCCACATTCGTCAGCTAAGTCAAGTGCCAGACTATATGATGCTTGCTGAGGGCCACCTCAGGGGACCTCTACACCAATGGTCGCAGCTTGGCAGCTTGAGGTTCCTTCAGTTCTCCACTGTCTGGAAAGCACGACAGTCCCTCAAGTCTCAGGCCAGCAACGGCATGCCCAGCGGAGGCGGAGGCTGTGGCTGCGGCGGCTGCGGCTGCGGCCTTGGCTGTGCCAGTGGCGGATGTGGCGCCTGCGGCAGTTGTGGCGGCTGTGGCGGAGGAGGGTGCAGCGCAGCCTGCGGGGCTTGCGGCGGAGGATGCAGCGGAGGAGGACGATGAGCTCAAGCGGGTATCTATCCTACTTTCTCTCAAACACAAAATGAAGAGTGTGCGGCGTGCGTGTTCGTACTATGGAGGGAAACTGCTGCGCACTTGCCAATAAATCCCGTGTTGAGAAAACTACTTGAGCACGAGGTTTCGGAGTACACCAAACAGGATATCACTGAAACAAGAGAAGTTCACATGTTTTAATTTAAGAGCATGCTTTGTGGCAGATTTTTAGGGCCATGCAATTTTCAAGCTTGCTGGGTTTGGAAGCTGTAGTTTTTGCCCATTCGCTGTGCTGAGAAGATCTTCCCAACCAAGTAACTTGTAGGGATACATAGAAAGGTCTTCCTCGAGTCGCGCAGAAGATGTCCCCGAGCTTTTGATGTCCAACCAAAGAAAATAACTTGGGGAATTGACTGCCGTCCAGCTGTTTCGGGCTCACCAGAATAGCCTATTGAGAGGTGCCCCCAAACTTGTTTTCAAGCTGACCAAAATAAGTTTCAAGGATTCTGCCCCGAACTCGTTTGCCAGCCGGTGAAAATAGCTTTTGGGGAATTCTGACGGGAGTCCAGCTGCTTGGGACCCACCAGAATAGCCTTTTGAGCGGTGCCCCCAAACTCGCTTTCCAGCTGACGAAATAGGTTTCGGGGATGCTGTGCCCGAACTTGTTTTCCAGCCGGAGGATTTGGGGAGTTCTCACGGAAGTCCAACAGACGGCTGTTTCGGGCCAGAAAAGCCTTCCGAGCGGCGCCCGAAAGGGATCCTGCTTGTACTAGCTTACTAGCTGTGGCAGGCATTAAAAAACCTGATTCGGATCAAAAACACTTATCAGGGACGAATGGAAAACTTATTAGGGATCAAACAAGCTTCTTCTCATTCCTATGGGGAGAAGGAAGGAAGGAAGGAAGGAAGGAAGGAAGGAAGGAAGGAAGGAAGGAAGGAAGGAAGGAAGGAAGGAAGGAAGGAAGGAAGGAAGGAAGGAAGGAAGGAAGGAAGGAAGGAAGGAAGGAAGGAAGGAAGGAAGGAAGGAAGGAAGGAAGGAAGGCAGGAAGGCAGGAAGGCAGGAAGGCAGGAAGGCAGGAAGGAAGGAAGGCAGGAAGGCAGGAAGGCAGGAAGGCAGGAAGGCAGGAAGGCAGGAAGGCAGGAAGGCAGGAAGGCAGGAAGGCAGGAAGGCAGGAAGGCAGGAAGGCAGGA